CTGCAGGGAGTGTCCCTGCTCTGGGCTCTAGAGCCACGCCTGCTGCTGCCCGGGACCGAGGTGCGGCTCTGCAATGGCAGCCCTGGGGAAACCCTGCCCGGCTCCTGACTACCTGCAGGAGTCCGGATGCGTCACTAACTTTCTCACCTCTGAAGGGTGCCTAGTAATAGTGATGATGAGTCCTCACAGGCTTGATATGAGAAGGGAGCGGGAGGCTTCCTGCAAGCCCTGGTGTGGGGCTGGCCAGCAGAGCGGGTGGAGCAGAGCGCGCTGTCCTTGCTGCAGGCACAGTGTGGCCTTGTCATATGGGGTGCTCTGACAGTGCCCTTCACAGCCGTCCTAACAGGCCGCTTTTCTCCCCGCCCCCTGTGTTTTTGTGCCAGCTCGAGCCGTGCCAAGCCCACTGCGGGCTCCCAGGGCAGCTCCCGGTCGCCTCTGGCAGCCCCTCCCCTGGAGTCTCCTCTGAAGTTGTCCCTGCCTTGCACGTTCCCATGACACAGAATCCCTCTATGGTCTGAGCTCTCTCTGGGTTTCAGTGCTGTGCCCTCAGTATCTCTAGGGTGTAGTGCTGTGTCCTTAGTAAGCGAGTGTCAGTCCCAGCTCTAATAAGCTTTTCCTACATCCAAAGACATTGAACTCTTCCACCTGCTTCTTGAGTCAGGAGCACAGTTTGGCACAGCCGACTGCAGGCTGCTATTTAAGGCACAGGAAGAAAAATGATTTTGTTGAAGCAACGTCGTCAGATGGTGAGACACATAGACCTTGATTCTGAGGTCTTCGGTAGTGCTTAGGGTGAGACAACAGACTTATTTATTAGATATGCCCCATTTTGCTTTGAAAAAGCTACTTTATATTTTGAGACCACATTGAGGAGCGCTCCACCAGTTATCAGAGTCATAATAATATTAGGACTTCTACTTCTGGGAAGGTGGAGATGCCTTTCCCAGCCCGTCTGGAAGGCCTACTGACAGCTGAGATGTTGCAGATAAAGCACTACACACCATGAAGCACGGAGGGGAGGCAGCTGTGCCGGGCGGGACCCGGGAGGGGCAGGGGTGGATTCTCTGTGTTTTTCTAGCCCCAACCACCTGGGCCCTGCAGCTGAGGTCAGAGAGCCTTCGCACCAGCCCAGGGCTAGGAGGTGTTAGAGTCTGTAAACAAGTCTGGATGGCGCCTGGCATTTTGCAGAGGGAGTGGTTTGTGAAGTCACGCCAGCGAGCCATTAAGTGTGGAGATTCCTGATTGGTTGACTGCTGTATCTAGTTTATGCTAATTAGATAAGCTGCGTGGAATGTATAAATACCCCTCCTGTCCTGCAATAAAGGGCTCCCACTCCTGCTGTATCCATGTACACAAGTTGCTCGTCACCTCCCGGTTATTCTGCTGCAGCCGGACTGCGGCAAGGAGGAAGAGGACTTAGCAAGGCAACGGGACACTGTAACAAAGGCCTCTCTCAGTAACGCACCAGGAGACCCTGACCTCACCCTCCAGGGCCACCATGTCCACAAGGAGAGCCAGAGTTTTGTTCTGAAATCAGGAGGCTGAGCTGAAGCTGGGACAGTCCTCATGGCCAGTACCAAACTCTGCCTCCCTGTGATGTGTGCAGCCTGTGAGAGCCCACCCTCCATCCACCCGGAAGTAACGAGGAGACCTGAGCTGGAGCCGCCCCCAGCAGGGAGCCCCAGCTCCCACCCGACCCTGTGCCAGCAGCCCCTGTCACAGTGAGAACAGAAGAAAGGGCAGTGCCCGTGCGTCCCCAGGGAGGGCAGGAAGAGCCTGCAGAAGAGGGGCAGGCCAAGCGGAGAGCCAGGGCATCACCCCTTCCTGGGGGGCCAGCGTCGAGCTGCACAGGGAGCACACACTCACCCTGAAGTCTCTGCGTGTGCAGCAGAGCGCGGGGAGCTGCTCCGTGTCTGCGAACCCCTGAAAAACTGGGCAGCAATACAGAAACGGGCCATTTCAATATTTAGTTCTAGAGTCGAAATAGCAAGTGTCCTTTAGATTAGAAATATAATAAAAAAGGACAGAGATGGTATTCCTGAATTAGTTTGTTGTAAAACCAAGAGAAAGGGGAATCTGTCTCCAAGTGCGTCTGAAAAGGACCCAGTTAGCAGAGAAAGAGCAGGACACTAATATGGAAAATCAAAGTCCAGGCTTTGCCAATCCAGCCTTTTCTACAACTACGCACTCTGTCGTGGGATTACCTATTACAAATAATGCTTTGGGGGCTGCAGTTGTGGCTCAGTGGCAGAGCGCTTGCCTGGCACATGTAAGGCACTGGGTTTGATCCTCAGAACCACATTAAAAATAAATAAATAGAATGAAGGTATTGTGTCCATCTATAGCTAAAAAAAAATATTTTAAAATGCTTTTAAACAAAATTAAGATTTTCCTGAGAAACCGTCCCAACAGGATATTCTCAGAAACTAGCCAACACTCCAAGAAGCAGCCGCCAGGGACACAGAGGTTGAGTCGGTCCTCCCGGGCAGGCCTGCCTCCTCACACCGGGCCTCCGACCTCAACAAGAGGCCAGAGCAGGCCCTACTTCCGCTGGCTCCATCCCCTGCTGCTGCCAGTTGGAGCAACGTGAAGGACAGTGTGCAGGAGAGTGGTTCCGGGTGTTGCTGGTGGAATAAGTTTGACTCTCGAGGGCCACGAGACAGAAGCCAGAGGTGTGTCTATCAATTCCCTCTTCCAACAGCCCTGTCGTGGTCACACCACCAGTGCTTCTAAGAGGACCTTGTGACCTAGGTGATCACCACCACCTGGCCCTGGAGGTCGACGACAGTCTCCGGGCCACTGTGGATGGAGGCGGGGACGCGACCTGGGAGGACAGGAGCCAGCAGGGTGCTTTGCTGGCAGATGTGCCAGGGCTGCTCTGCCTGCTGAGGGGATCAGACTGTGCAGGCACCACTGGCGAGTCCTGGTAGAACGTGGGGCCAGGCTCTGCACCAAGCCCACCCCAGGGCCTGTGGACCTCCTGGGAACCTCCCCCGTGCCACCAGGGGACTCGCTCTGGTCTTGTGCCGCGCTCAGCAGGCCCAGTTTCTGCCTGGCTCCTCTCACTGACTGACTGAGGTCTAAAATGCAGATTGAGGCTAGAGTCCCAGCAAGGGTGAGACCCAGAAGCCAGGGAGGGGGATCCTCAAAGGGGAAGAGGAGCAGACAGAAGAGGAATTTGAGATCGCATTTACCCCCATGGCCTGCACCTTTGAGTCCATAGGAAAGTCACTCCCCTCTGGCAGTGTGCCAATGTCACTCATGCTACCGTGGGAGGAAAGTTACCACGGGAGCCACAGGGAGCCTACGGCCTCCAGGGAGGGCACCTGGAGAAAGGAGCCGCTGTCAAGGCCCGTGTCTGTGACAATCTCTGCACCGGAGAGGAGAAGCAGGCAGAAAGGAGGAGGAGGAGTCACGCTAAGGACTGACTGCCCACTCTTCTTATTAATCAGGCCACCCCCTCCTTGACCCTTCTGCCTCCTGCTCCAGCGTCCACCAGGTCTGGCAGGCGTTTGCGCGTCTTGGGTCAGAAGCACTGGAAGATGCATGCAGGAACATGTGGAACCAGTGCTGGTTCGCAGGCGTCCACGGACGACGGTCGAGGGATCTGTGAGCCAGTGTCACTCACCGTGGACACAGCGGTATTAAAATTAAATTATGTGAGCATAACAATTAAACAAATTCCACCAAGAACAAGCAGTAGGGGGCTTGTGGCTCAACAGTAGAGCGCTTGCCTAGCATGTGCAAGGCCCTGGGTTCAATCCTCAGCACCATATAAAAATAAATTTAAAAAATAAAGGTACTGAAACTTCAACTAAAAAATAAATATTAAAAATGAAGAACAAGCAGTAATAAACAGTATCATCTCAGGATTCTTCTGCCACTTTTTCCAAGAGGGAAGCTCGTGGGATGACTTACGTCTATTGCATCTGCCTGGGGAAGCAGGTGTTTGCTCTGCTGTTGTGCAGCAGAGGATACTAGAGTGAGCCAGTGTCCCCTGAACCCACATCTGCATGTGCTGCGTCTTTGATGGCAGCTTGAGTTAGACACGAGGAGTATTCACACCACAGAATCTGCACAACTGCACAAATCAAGGTATTTTCTACCAGACACTCAGCTGTTAAATATTGGCAGCACAGAGTTGGACACACCATGAATACTGGGTATATGTTGAGTCAACACAGTGAAAGACAAGCAACACAATCAACCTGCCGAGGTTGTCCTCTTTCCCTTCCTGGATCTGGAACGGCAGCCGGATGGATATCTAGGACCACCGTGGGCTGGGAAGGAGGACCTCTCACTCACTCCTCCAAAGTCAAAGGCACAGTGCCAGGAAGGTCTGGGGCTGCAGCCCTCGGTCACACATGTGACTCTCCAACTGTGGGAGGGCCACTGTGTGCTGGGGATCCAGGCCTGTCCCTCCTGTCACTCCTCCACCTTCACCTTCAGGGGACAAGGTCACTGTGTGCTGGGGATCCAGGCCTGTCCCTCCTGTCACTCCTCCACCTTCACCTTCAGGGGACAGGGTCACTGTGTGCTGGGGATCCAGGTCTGTCCCTCCTGTCACTCCTCCACCTTCACCTTCCAGGGGACAGGGTCACTGTGTGCTGGGATCCAGGTCTGTCCCTCCTGTCACTCACTGCCCCACCCTCCCAGGGGCGAGGGCCACTGTTTATTGGGATCCAGGCCTGTCCCTCCTGTCACTCCTCCACCTTCACCTTCCAGGGGACAGGGCCACTGTGTGCTGGGGATCCAGGCCTGTCCCTCCTGTCACTCCTCCACCTTCACCTTCCAGGGGACAGGGCCACTGTGTGCTGGGGATCCAGGTCTGTCCCTCCTGTCACTCACTGCCCCACCCTCCCAGGGGCGAGGGCCACTGTGTGCTGGGATCCAGGTCTGTCCCTCCTGTCACTCACTGCCCCACCCTCCCAGGGGCGAGGGCCACTGTGGGTAAAGATCTATGCCTCTCACTCATTTCTGAGTCTTCCTGTATGGCATGCTGTCCCTGAGCACAGAGATCCCACGTTCTGCCCTCCTCTGCCCATAAATGGACACCCTGTGTGGGGTCTGAAGGCGTGTTCATCTTTGCTTGGTAAGTTACAGCTCCAACCCCAGCTACTCATGCTGCCCTCGTGCCTTTCAGGTTGTGTTTGTGGCATTAGGTCATCTGTTGAGAATAATATGGTCAAGCATGCTTCACTACTGATGTCAGCCACAGTGGTCAGCACTGAGGTCGGTCAGTGGATCCAATCTGCACTTTACACTGACGTCCGCCTGCAGTTATCTGGAGGACAAAAGACCTTTCAAACAGCCCCCCATTGATGCCTGGCTTCAGCAGTCCTGACATGGGAAAGAAGAGGTGAGCCCTGGCAGGCGGCTGTGTTGTGGGCGTGTTGACTTAATTAGAAGCCTGATGGAGGCACAGAGATCGGGCCTGTGCTTGTGTAGGACACTTTCATCGTCCACAGGAAGACAGATAGATATATTATACAGCTGGGCGCAGTTGCCACACTAGTAATCGCAGCAACTCAGGAGGCTGAGGCAGGAGGATCACAAGTTCAAAGCCAGCCTCAGCAACTTTACAAGAACCTAAGCAACTTAGTGAGACTCTGTATCAAAATAAAAATATAAAAAGGACTGGGAATGTGGCTCAGTGGTTAATGCTCCTGAGTTCAATCCCTGGTACAAGAAAGAAAGAAAGAAGGCAGGCAGGAAGGATGGAAGGAGGAAGAGGAAAGAAAGAAAAGATATATCGTGCATAATACAACATAGTATATAATATATATAACATTAAAATCACAGTCTAGACTACGATTCAGAATAATGCCTGATAAGATTCTAATTGATAAAATTTACTGACAATTTTTTTCTAGATAAAAAGATTTAAGAACCCACCTGGATTTTTTATTTTCCTATTTCATGTATCTTTGTCTTAATTTGACTTTTCAGACTATTTTACAAAATCTTTGGAAATTTGCCATTGATGAAAACACTAGTGCTGCATAAACCCCTAAGCGTTTAAGAAATGAGTAACCAATGTGTGGAATTACACAGACAGAACCATCAGCTACTGTGACAGAATCCAAATGCAACCAGAGAGAACTATATCAGAACTATATTAGACCCGAGAAAGACCGGAGAGAACAGCTGGGACGAGGCTCGCAGTTTGGGCTTTGTAGTAAAGCAGGATTGGGCCGGTCCTCTGGGACCAGTGTCCTGGGTGCCCTGTCAAGTCCGATGCTCAGGAAGCCTGAGTCCACCAGGTGTGACTGTTGGCCAGGCTCAGATACCCAGGTGTGCTGCCGGCTCTGGCTTCTCTTGGTTTTATGCGAAGGCTGATGTGGAAAGGTAAACCCCACAGAGGAAGACTCCCGAAACTGTCCACGGACTCCTCTTCTGTCCCTCCAGCATTTCACCTTTGACCCCAGGTAGGTGAGGCTGTCCTGGTGTCCTTGCTTGAAGGTTGAAGGTGTGATTCACTCTCCCAAGACACTCGTGCAGAGAAAGGCTGCTGGGGAGTCTTTCCTCAGAAGTCTGAGCCTGGACTCCATTTTCCAAAGGGCCCTGGGACTTGGGTCAACACTGCGGTCTCCTTGCACTGGTGGAGAGGGTGGCTGAGGCCTGACTGCCAAGCCACTCAGGAGTCGGAATCTGGGAGGACGGAGCTCAGGGGAGCTCTCCTGGCCGCCTTCCCCCTGAAGAGTGGGAGGCTGGTGGGAACCCAGCCCGGGTTCCATGTCCACAGCAGCGCTGCATTTAGAACAGGCTTCCTGTTTTCAGACCACAAAGCAAACTCTCTTCCTGAAATTACCAAAATAATCTGCCCAGTTCTTGTCTGTCTGCCCGGGGAAGCTGCTGCCAGTGAGGAGGAAAACACCCACAGGGCCGGCGGGGACCCTGCGGGGCGCCTGCAGGCCCGGCTCTGCCCTCCTGTCTCTGAAGCCCGCTGAGCTGTCAGGCAGCCCGGGCTGCACTCAGGCAGCCTCTGCAGCCTCACCCCGGGGCCTGTAGGTTGACTCCTTCCCATCCACGGTCACCCACTGCTGCCACGTCCGTCTGTCCTGCCTCTGCCCACTGTGCCGTCCGTTCTTGTCAGGCCATGCTTCCTGTCCTGTATCTTCCCCTCTGCTTTCAGTGTTGAGGTTTGAAATGAGGGGAGGACCTTGGCTGGTCCTGGGAATTAGGCGTGGACTCCGGGTGACAGGATGGGCTCCAGCATCCCCCACTGACCCCCTGTGCAGAATGGCTAGATGCCTCTTGTGTTCCTGTCTCTTGCAGTAGCACCTGCTAGATGCCAGCAGCTGCGGCTGAGAACCCTTTGCAAATGTGCAGGGGCTTCTGTGGATCTGTCATTCAACACTGCCACACAGCCTGGCCCGGGCACTAGTGCCATCTTGGGGATCCTGACGGTGGCCATCCTTCGACACAGCAAGGACACGATGAGGAGGAGGGGCCACCTGAGAGCCCTTGTTGTGGGTGTGTGGCGTATTTGCTCCATGGACACAATTTGACCCCAGCTCAGAGGGGATCGTGCTGGACTTGGTGCAGTCGTGGTGGCAGGGGAGCCGTCTACCTTTTAGCAGCCATCCTGCACCCTGGCACTCGCACTGGCCTGGGCAGCGCCCTGAGGCTGTTCCTCCCTCACGGCTCTGGCCTCTCCCCGCGAGGCCCTGGTGGGGTTCCCATCTAGTGTCTAGAGGGCCCTGGCTTGGCTGGCCCTGGCTCCTGCTCATCCTCCTCCTGGGGCCGAGTGTCTCTGGCGTGTGACGATACTGCAAGACGACATCCTGCCTCGCCGGGGAGGAGGAAGGGGTCTGGAGACACCTGCTCCTTGCATTTTCGCGGAGGGTGGTCCCGCCCACTGGGCTCATTTTGTTTCATGATCAAGATGAAAACGGTTGCACACTTTATCTGAGATCACGCAGAGGGCTGCCTCCGTGTCTCTGGAGGCTTCAGGGCGTAGTCCCCAGGATGCTCACGTGTCCCTTCTCCATCCTCAGAGGGAGAGCACTGCCACCTCCAGAGGCAGGCCGCTGTGACGTCCCACGAGAGCCGCGAGCCGTGGAGGAAAGGGGGTGGGAGGGTTTCCTCAGGCGACAGCCCTGGTCACCCCACACCATCTGAGCGCTTGGGACTGGCGCTCACCCGCAACGGGAGGGTCACCAGACGGTGGGTGGCCAGGGTCCCCTTGGCGGAGCAGTGGTTTGAGGGTTCTGCCCTCTAGGGAATGATAGTGTTTCCCCTTTACATTTCCCGGGAACAATAGTTACATTGTAAAGAAGTAGAAAGGCCTGAGCCTGAGCCGGCAGGAGAACCCAGGTTTGGTGAGAGCGCAGCAGAGGGGCTGATTTAGGCAGGACTTCCAGGAAATAATGAAACAAGTTATCCACAGTCCAGTTTCAAGGTGAGCAATTTGTCGCAGACTCAAGCCATGGTCTGAGTTCTGCCTTATTGACCAGAAAAACTGTATGAACAATTTCAAATAAACAACCTGAAGCAGGAAGCACAAAGATACAATTTAAAGAAGCCTGGATTTTGGAATTTTGTATTAGTACCAATTTGGTTCTGGTAGCTTGTTCAGAATTATTCTCCTTTTATTCTACTCTAACTCCATATCACAGTAAAACACGAGAACAAACTTCAGTCCAGGACAGTGATGGCGGTTTTACATCACAGAAAACAGAAAACCAACTAGACCACAGGACCTCAGCTGTCACCAGGCCGTATGGGTGCAGGAGGACGCTTGCTGGGGGTCATGCCACACAGCCACACAGCCTGGCCCAGGGCACTAGTGCCACCTTGGGATCCTAACAGTGGTCATCCTTAAGACTCAGGGAGGACACGGCGAGGAGGAGGGCCACCTGAGAGTCCCAGGTCATGGTAGGTGCCAAGGAGGACGCCGCTCACGGTCACCAGTGCCCCTGCGCCTCAGCCCCAGGCCTCGGCTGGCTGTGGTGAAGGGCTGCGTCCCGTGCCACTGGCGGGACGGCTGGCAGGCCAAGTGCCACAGCGTGTCAGGGTGGCTCGCCTCGGCCCTTGCAGATCTGGGTACTCTGCTGAGCCTGGGACTGGTGCTGGCTCTGCTCATGGGCAGAATGGAATTCCCCTCACAGCCATCAAAATGCAAAGCCAGAGGCACTCGCAGAGCTTTACCAAGACGAGGTGGAACCCACTGGGAATGCCTCCCGTCTAACTATGGAAAAAGTGTCCCCAGCCAGTGTTTGGGGACTACAGGGACTTTTTCTGTCTTCCTCAGAAACTACAAGCAATCGTGGGTCTCGCACACAGGATGTTAGTGAGTCAGTATGACGTGGAGGCTGGCTGCGGGGCCAGACGAGCGCACAGACAGGAATTCTCAGGGAACCGCAGCTCTTGGGGAAAGGGGGCAGAAGGAGGACCGGGCGTGCCGGTGGATGTGCCTGGAGACCAGCTGGTGCAAGGCCCGTCCAAGCAGGAGAGAAGGGCCAGGCCACAGCCAGCGAGCAGGACGGGCCTCAGCTGCTGCTCGCCTCAGCCCCCTGCAGTTGCTCATCTGAAAATAGCTCTGCGCCCAAGGGGGGACTGCACAGGCCGCAGCCCGGGGCTCAGGAGCCCCAGGACGCCGGCACATCAGAGTTAGTGTGAGCTGCTAGTGCCGCGGACGCGCATCGGTACCGTTTCCGTGGACTTCCCTCATGATGGCGGACGCCTGCTGCCTCCTCTGCTTCACCAGGGCACTGTGTGACAGCATGGAGCAGGTCCCTGTAGGCAGAGTGGGGCGTCACTGAGGCAGCCGCCCTCCCAGAGAGCTGCCCCATTCTAGCACTGCTGCTCTCTGTTGGAGGACCTGGCTGTGCATCCCTGTCGGGTGACATCTGGTGACAGGAGTGTCGGGCCAGTCCTTCCTGTGCACTCACACAATGTCCCCCAGCAGTGAGGGAGGAGACCTGCCCGTCCAGGGTTATTTTTAACCCACCATTGTCTCCTTGGCCTTCGAGTGTACCCACGTCTGGTCCGTCCATCCCAGACAAGGGAGAGAGAGGAGGGCACCAGAACAAAGAGGCCCCCGGTCAGCGCCTGACCGCTGGCCCGCACAGCTGCCCCTCAGCCAGAGTGCGCTGCTGCACCCTGCCCTGAGCCTCCTGGACAGGGACCGGCAGCCCTCGGGGAGCGACGTACTCACCTTGCTGCTGGACGCTGGACGGGGCCTGGGAGCAAGGGCGATCCTGGGGGAGACCTGGAGATGGAGAAGATGGCGGAGATGGCGCTTGGGCCTGATGGGTTTTATCCTTGAACCTGGGACGGCATGGTCCCCAGCTCTGACTCGAGCGGGACTGAGCCTCTCTAAGGAGACTGGCATCCCACTGACCTCATGGACTATATATAGCACCAAATACTTCAGCTACTCATATCTTCCTGGCAGAAGAAAGGAACAGGGGAACATTAGCTTCTCTCCATTGTTCCAGCTTGTGAGATGTGAAGGAGGGTGCATCCACGGACCCGCAGAGCCCCTATCCCTCACCTTCTGTTGGAAGAGACCGCAGCCAAAGGGGACTTGAAAGACTTTCTACAGTGTGGTCCTTACGCTGTACCTCAGTCGAGGTGGCAAGAGACGTACCCGTGAATTAGAACAGAGTGGTGGGTCACTCATAACTAAAATGAACACTATGGACAGGGACATCTCTGGAGACCTGTGGGCACCCACAGAGCTGGCCCTGAGTCAAGAGTGAACGTGGACGCTCAGTCCACAGAAGGCTTCACTCTTGAGGGTACGGGGGGGCATTGTTAGGGACACGTGGCTGAGCAGGAGCCAAGCCTCAGAGATCAGGTGCTGCACCGTGGACCTCAGGTCCAGGGCTTCCGCAGACGGAGGACATGGGGCTGGGAGGTGGGCCACATCAGCCCCTGGCTCTGGCACAGAGCGTGCTCCCTTCTGGACTTCCGTTAACGGTTTCCCTGCTCTGGGAACTTGCCTCGCTCCTCAGGCCAGGGACACTGCTCAAAGGCGAGGCCGTCACAAACCCTCCACAGTCTCCTGAACACAGTGCCACATGGAGTCCTTCCACCTTCTCTGCTTCACAGCCCTTTCGGTTGTTTTGTTAGTCAAGAGGAGTGACTGAAAATCCCAGACAGAAACTTAACAGAAGCCTTACTCTCCTGGTAAGGCTGGGCTGGAGGTGAGGAAACCGGGGTCACCTGCTAACCTCTGCTCTACCTTCCAGAAGTGTGGGCCCCAGAGCCTCGTTGTCTGCCGCTGCTCCTCAGCCTGCTCAGAGCTCAGGCAGCAGGAAAGCGCCTGTCTCCCCAGCACACATCTTGATGCTGGGCAAGGTCGTCTGTATCCTGATGGGCAAAGGCAGTCGTGCAGGCACAGGTGGCTCAAGAGGCTGAGTCGGGCTGTGCTCTGACTCTGAGGAGGAAGATGGTGGCCATTGGGTGAACACCCCAGTCTCTCCAAGTATGTTGACCGGAGTCTGCTTGTCCATCATCCCTCCACCTTTCTGTGCACCCATGTAATGTCTTTTTCCTGGTAAGATAGGGAGTCCCTGTGTCTTGGCTTCTCCAGTCCCTAGACTTGTGTCAGGCATGAGGTTGTGCTCAGGGGCCAGTGTACGATGGCAGGGCTGGGGTAGGTCGTGCAGTACATAGAAGGTTGGGTGGCTTTGGGTCCTCTTCTAGACACCATAGACACATGGGAGATGTGGCAGTGAGGTGAATGAACAGGGATGAGGTCAGGCAGGGGAGTGAGGCTGGAATAGGCTGTGTGTTCTTAGGCTGGCCGCAGGCCTCAGAGTGTGTCCTTGGGTTGGATGTAGGATGCAGAGGGCAGGCTTAGAGTGCAGGTTGCAGAGGGCAGGCTTAGAGTGCAGGCTGCAGAGGGCAGGCTTAGAGTGCAGCATGCAGAGAGCAGGATTAGAGTGCAGGCTGGAGAGGGCAGGATTAGAGTGCAGGCTGCAGAGGGCGGGCTTAGAGTGTAGGCTGCAGAGGGCAGGATTAGAGTGCAGGCTGAGGAAGCAGGGTTAAAGTGCAGGCTGCAGAGGGCAGGCTTAGAGTGTAGGCTGCAGAGGGCAGCATTAGAGTGCAGGCTGCAGAGGGCAGACTTAGAGTATAGGCTGCAGAGGGCAGGATTAGAGTGCAGGTGCAGAGGGCAGGATTAGAGTGCAGGTGTAGAAGTCAGGGTTAGAGTGCAGGTGCAGTGGGTAGGGTTAGAGTGCAGGCTGCAGAGGGCAGGCTTAGAGTGGAGGTGCAGAGGGCAGCATTAGAGTGCAGGTGCAGAGGGTAGGGTTAGAGTGCAGGTGCAGAGGGCAGGATTAGAGTGCAGGCTGTAGAGGGCAGGATTAGAGTGCAGGTGCAGAGGGCAGGATTAGAGTGCAGGCTGCAGAGGGCAGGATTAGAGTGCAGGCTGAGGAAGCAGGGTTAAAGTGCAGGCTGCAGAGGGCAGGCTTAGAGTGTAGGCTGCAGAGGGCAGCATTAGAGTGCAGGCTGCAGAGGGCAGGATTAGAGTGCAGGTGTAGAAGTCAGGGTTAGAGTGCAGGTGCAGTGGGTAGGGTTAGAGTGCAGGCTGCAGAGGGCAGGCTTAGAGTGGAGGTGCAGAGGGCAGCATTAGAGTGCACGTGCAGAGGGTAGGGTTAGAGTGCAGGTGCAGAGGGTAGGGTTAGAGTGCAGGCTTAAGAGGGCAGGATTAGAGTGTAGGTGCAGAGGGCAGGATTAGAGTGCAGGCTGCAGAGGGCAGGGTTAGAGTGCAGGCTGAGGAAGCAGGGTTAAAGTGCAGGCTGCAGAGGGCAGACTTAGAGTATAGGCTGCAGAGGGCAGGATTAGAGTGCAGGTGCAGAGGGCAGGATTAGAGTGCAGGTGTAGAAGTCAGGGTTAGAGTGCAGGTGCAGTGGGTAGGGTTAGAGTGCAGGCTGCAGAGGGCAGGCTTAGAGTGGAGGTGCAGAGGGCAGCATTAGAGTGCACGTGCAGAGGGTAGGGTTAGAGTGCAGGTGCAGAGGGTAGGGTTAGAGTGCAGGCTTAAGAGGGCAGGATTAGAGTGTAGGTGCAGAGGGCAGGATTAGAGTGCAGGCTGCAGAGGGCAGGGTTAGAGTGCAGGCTGCAGAGGGCAGGCTAACAGTGCAGGCTGCAGAGGGCAGGATTAGAGTGCAGGTGCAGAGGGCAGGATTAGAGTGCAGGTGCAGAGGGCAGGATTAGAGTGCAGGTGTAGAGGGCCGGGTTAGAATGCAGGTGCAGAGGGTAGGGTTAGAGTGCAGGCTGCAGAGGGCAGGATTAGAGTGCAGGCTGCAGAGGGCAGGATTAGAGTGCAGGCTGCAGAGGGCAGGATTAGAGTGCAGGTGCAGAGGGTAGTGTTGGAGAGCAGGCTGCAGAGGGCAGAATTAGAGTGGAGGTGCAGAGGGCAGGATTAGAGTGCAGGTGCAGAGGGTAGGGTTAGAGTGCAGGTGCAGATGGTAGGGTTAGAGTGCAGGTGCAGAGGGCAGGATTAGAGTGCAGGCTTCGGAGGGCAGGATTAGAGTGACCTATTGCGATTGCTTCTAGGCAGACATTTAAGGTGAAATTGTTTATTAGGTGTCCGTAAAAACTCTTTTGGCCAAGCCTGTGAATTCGCTTCCCTCTGGAGATGTTTGATTGCCTGGTGTTCCTGGATCCAGCACTTAGGTGGCCTCCATTACTCAAGCTGCTTGGCCCTTGAAATCCGCATCTGTAAGATGGAGTTTTCAGGACCCACCACAAGTCCCGAGGATTCCCACGTAACGTGGGCAGCAGTGCCTTGTACTTAGTCCCTTTGGCAGTGTACTCTTCCTCTTCCTCTTACCATCCCTGCAGCGTGGACAGGTTTAGATGGAGCCTCAGGACCGTGAACTAGGTGGTTTAATAAGGAGTAAAAACACTTGAAGGAGGCCCCCTTTCCCATGGTGGTGTTCGCAGTTCTAAAGAAACAGCATCAACAATCATTTTTGTTAATTTTGGTTTCCAAAATTAAAACAGATATTTGTAAAGGTTTTTTAAAGTTATACAGGATATGATATATTGTTTTTGTTTATTTTACTTTCCCAAATGGACCTAAAATTGTCTTGCTTCATTTTTTAAACTCACTTTCAGGTGCTAGCTTGCTGGTGGCCTAGTTATTAAAGGTTCAGAGGAGGGAAGACTGGACGGCTGGCCTGAGTGTCAAGCAGCGTGTGCAGACCCTGCAGCTTGGGACACAGCCGCGGTGGGTGCTCAGAGCACCTCAGTTCTGTTGGAAAGCTGCTGGCACCACCAGGTCTCTGCTCCCACTGCACAGGGTCCAGCAGAGGCTGAGCCCCAGCTGGAGTGTGTTACCCCATTCTCCTTTGTCCCCACCCCTCGTCCCCAGGGAGGCCTGCAGGTACCCTTCCCGAGGCTTCCTGTGAGGTGAGCACATGGGTCCCTTGTCCTTCCCTTGGTCACTTAAGCCAGTTGGTGCAGAACACAAAAGGTGGGTCTTGGTGCTAGGGCTTGATGTGTGGAGAGTCTGGGGAGACGCAGATTCCAGCACCCCTCAGCCAAGCCTGATCTTGGCTCCTTCAGCTTGTGCTAAAGAGAGATGAAGAGGCTAAACACCTAGGCCAAGTGGCCGCCACTCGAGGACTGCAGCCCGTGGAGACCAGAGGCCACATGGCCCCTCTCCTGGAGCACTGTTCTCAGACTTGGGCCCCTTCTCCACCACCATCCTCCACACCCATCACTGGGTTCCATTTTGAGCAGCGGTGGGACAGGAGGACTTCAGGCCCTCGTTCTGTCTCAACCCTCCAAGAGCTGAGGTGCTGCACAGGCTATGCAGACAGCCCCCCATATCTCAGGTAGACACACCTCCGCACCAGCTGCAGGTTCCCCTCCCTGGGGTGGCCATTCTTCCTCAGGTGCAGGAAACCATACGCAGGGGACTCTCCCCTTGTCTCCCAACAAGTGCTCACTGGGCAGCCATCAGGCACAAGGTGTGGTTCATGCACCAAGGAGCAAGCGCTGTGTCTTCATCCCTGTGGAGAGCATCTGGACACGACATCCAAGGAATCACTGCTGCATTTACCCAGTGATGGATCCCGAGAGGTGACGAAGCAGAGAAGACGGGCGGCTGTGGCGGAGGGACTGCGAGGAGCACCGGAAGGCCAGGGAGGACTCTGTGACGAGGGGCATCTGTGCAGCAAGTCTGGAGCACGTTGACCCGAGAACACCCAGGCAGACAGCAGGGCCGAGGTTCTGCAGGGGAGCAACCCGGGTGTGTGGGAGCAGGGAGCCAGCAGGGGCAGAGCAAGGGAGGCAGGAGGCTGGCAGAGGAGAGGAGGCCTCAGCTGTCACCAGGGCTCTGGATGTCCTCTGCCCCAGAGAGGAAGCTGTCAAAGGGTCTGTCCAGAGAAAGGAAGGTGTGACTGTCTCAAGAAGCCACGCTGGCTGCTCAGTGGAGGGTGGACCCTGCGGGGCAAGGTCAGAGGCAGAGAGGCCACTGGAGGGCCTTGCAGGTTCCCTGGGCTTGTCCTTGGGGAAGTCATGTGGGTGGCGAGGCGGGGTCCGACTGGGCACAGAACCAGAGGGTGTGCTGTGGGTACGGGGTGCCCGTGGGAGGGAGAGTGCCATGCCCTCCTCTGAGCTCTGGGAGATCTGAGAGGACTGGGTGCTCAGGGGGTGTCAAGTGCTCAGGTGTGGACAACTGATTCTGAGAGGTCTGCAGAATCCCCCGGGAGATGGGCAGTAGCCAGCTGAGCATGGGGCCTCGAATGTCTGGGAAGAAGTCTGAGATGTACATGAACACTTGAGGTGCTCAGCACTTGATCAAGTGCACACTTAAGCCTCAGAGCAGGAGGACCCTTCCTGCGGGCTCCTCCTCAGCAGCCCGAGCTCCTAACGTGGGAGCTCGGGACCTCTGCTCTTCCTGCAGCACCCAGTCACCTCGCCCTCCGCTTCCTTTCACGTGCCTGGACAGACTGGTCTGCCAGTCTTGGTTGCACTTCATGACCAACCTGTCCCTTGCCGCGCTGTTACACCTGACCACCTCTCCTGGCCAGACCATCATGGTCACCAGGAGACTGGCCGACTCCCCCTTCATCTGTTCTCACAAGGCACCAAGGACCTTCAGCAAAGTTAAACCAGGTAGTTCAACTCCTTGCTCAAAGTGCCCCAGGTCCAGCATCTTAGCCAGAGAAGACCCCGTCCCCATTACAGCCTAAAATGTGCCCTGCAGTCTTACCACCCAGGCAGCCTTCCTGTTGTCCACCACTGGGAGGGCTCTGTGAGTGAGCACTTCCTGTGGGCTTGGGCCTGCCTGGACACCACCCCAGTGCTGGGAGGTCACTGGAGAGACCCTGAACACCACCGTGTGTCCAGTGGTCACCAGAGGCTGATTGCCATGTGTTAGGGTCTGTAAACAAGTCAAGATGGCGCCTGGCACTTTGCCAAGAGGAGTGGTTTGAGAAGTAACGCCAGAGAGCCATTAAGATGATAGATTCCTTAATGACTAACTGCTGGGTCTAGATTATGTCAATTAAGTTAAGCTGTGTGTAATCATTAAGATGATGATTCCTTATTGGTTGACTGCTGTATCTAGTTTATGTTAATTAAGATAAGCTGTGTAATTAGTTATGTATATATACCCCTCCTGTCCTACAATAAACGGCTCCCACTCCGGCTGTATCAATCTTCACAAGTTGCTTGTCACCCCCTGGTTAGTTTGCTGCAGCCAGACTGCGGCAGATGGTGGCCCGTACAGGGAGCCCCAGGACACTCAGGGGTAAGTGACGAGGAAAAGCTGCCCATCCGTAGAATAGATAGGACGGGAGCAAATCTGCTCATCCCTAGATAGGGCGAGAGGAAATATGGCATTTCAAGAAAATGGAGAGGATTGATGCAGTATGTTTGTGTCTTGTTTTGTCTTGCTGTATTGTATTGTCTTTGTGACAAAAATATGGAAGGGGTGAGAAGTAAATTGATAAGGGAAAGAGGCACCCCAGTGGAACCAAGAGCAGTTAGGGCATACGTTGATAGAAGCCCAGGAACTCTAGTCAGAAAGAAGAACAAAGTTCAGAGGAGGAAGGATTATCAGGAAAAAGTTGCAGCAAAAGGTTATTACTGAATACTTTTCGTAACCAGAGGATTCGTGAAGCGGCTTGGCGCAGTGGCTGCTGTGTACGCAAGCCAGTTGTGGTGCAGACTTTCCAGCTGGCGGTGGCGGCGGCAGCCGGCTCTCCCCCTCCCGGGGAGCGGGACGCCACTGCCGAGAGCCCAAACCCGGAGGCACGGTCTCACAGGCTCTTAAATGGCTCCCACTGCATCAGTCTTCACAAGTTGCTCGTCACTCACCCACCCACCCACCCACCCCCGGCTATTTTGCCCAGCCAGCCGGGCTGCGGCAGCCACGTGGACGCTCCTGGGAGCCCGACTGGCTCGTAACGTCTTCCTTCCTGTGTCTCGAGCCCCTGCTGAACTCCTAGCCGCCTCTTCGCCTCCCTGTGGGTCTAAGCGTTTCATCTAGGAATTTAGAGAACCGTGGATGGAGTTTTCTTAAGTTTTGTGTTCCGTGAGGAGAGGCTCAGGCTGTGGAGGACCATCGCTTCTCAGCCTGTCAGTGCCGGTGCCTCAGTGGAATTAGAATGGCCACAGCAGCTGTCACCTGGCCTCTGAGTGGCTTCACTGTCACGAGCCATGCTGGCTCCTCTGCTGAGTGGCCTCTTGACCCCTTGAAGTTAGCTGGCCCTTGGGCCTGGCCTT